CGCTTGTTCGCTCACTTCACGTGATATAATCTTTATCCAATAATATATGAGATATTTATAATCCAATAAAATATTATAACGAAAGGTCATTATACAACAATACTCTTGTATTTTCTTTATTTTTTGTATTATATTTATTATTTTTTGTATAATATGTAAAAAATTAATACAGATTTATATTAATACTTCTTAATATTTCATCAAATAGATTAGATATGAAATATAGATCATATTATTAATTTAAATATACATTATTTTTAATTTTATTTATTCTTTTATTTCATATTTATTATTTTTAATTTCATATTAATTACTTTTATCAATATTTATATTATTTATATTTCATATATATTTAATTAAGTACAGTATAACTTGAAGATATGTTATTTTTAAGGTTAATAATTTAGAATTAATTATTTTTTATTTATTATTAATTTATTTGTAATTCATAAAATAATAATTATATATTTAAATATTTCTATTCTGTATTATAGTTCTTTAGATTTTTCTACTATTTAATAAATAAAAAATAAGCTTTATTAAAATTAAAACTAAAAACTATCTCAATTGATATAATTTATTTATAATAATTAATAAATTTATCTTAATATTTTTCATGTAATAAAGTATTCTTATATTAATTATAATAAAAATATCAAAAGACTAATTTGTAACAAAATATTAATTTAATAATTTAATAATAAAATTTTAATCAACTCAATATAATCCAAAGCTACTTGTTTACAAGTTTTGAAGTATATAGTTGAGAGAAAAAAATGAATTATTTAAATATTTAAAAAGTATTTGTTTTATTATGTTATTTATTCTCAAGTTCTAATATGTTAAGTTAAAATTTAACTATAACTTGTATTTATACATTTTTCATGAATACAAATATAATATTAAAAACAAGAAAAAAATAAATATATTAATTAAAAATAAAATTCTAAGTTTATTAAATATAAAAACTAAAAAAATAAAAGAGAAAACTAAATAAATAAATAAATATAAATTTCAAAGATTTTTGATTGATTAAAATATATTCACTTAAAATAAATAAATAATATATAATATAATTATAAAATATTCTAAGTTTTTTATAAATTTGTAAAATATTATAAATTATAAAATTAATAATTTTTATAATATAATTATAATAATACTTAAAGATATTAATAAAATTTAGTTATTTTTAAAAAGTAAAGAATTTTTATATAAAAATTATACAAAAAAAAAGAAAATTACTATTTTGTAATAAATAAATCTAGTTATAAAATAGCAATCTTTTTTTTAAAAAATAATTACTTATTTTTAACTAGTATTCATTTAAAAACTCATTATTTTTATATAATTAATAATTAATAGAACAAATAATATAATCTGTAATTATTAAATCAAATTTAATTAATTAATAATAAGTTATATTATTGGTTATTATAATAAATTACTTAAATAATATATTTTTATAATAATAATGTAATTTTTTGCAAGTAATCAAAAATTGATTTTTTGACTCATTTAAATTTAATTTGTCTTTTTAAATTAAAAATAGAACAAGTTATATAATTAATATCTTTAAATATTCTATATTATAACTTATATTTAGAATTACAAATCTGAAATATTCTTGAAATTAAATTCAAAAAATTTATAAAAATATAAAAAAAATAAAAATTTTATTATAAAGTGAAAATTTTAATATTTTTGAATTTTTAGTAATTTATTATAAAAATATATATTATATAATATTATTTGATTAATTTAATAATTAGTAAAATTAATTTAATTAAAAAGTTCCAAAAATTATATATCATTTAAAAAATAAAAAATCTTAATTAAAAATTACAAAGTTAAATTATAATAAAATTAATATTAATATATAATATAAAACTTGAATATTTTAGCATATAATTTTTATACTGTTATAATATTTTAATAAAAAGTTATTAATATTTAAAAATTTAAAATTGGATGATATATTACCTTTGTAAGTTATTTTATTAATTAATTATATAAATATGTGATTAAGTAATATGACTTTATTATATAAAATGCACTTATAAAAGCATTCTAATATAGAACTAGAAAATCTATTACATATGTAACATATAAAGCATGTATATTTAGCACTATAATTCAAGCTTGAAACTGAATAAGAGTGCATTTAGAAAGAATATGCACTTATAAAGAGTGCATTTAAAAAGAGTTCTTTGTACAAGTCTTATTAATTATATTTTATCTTGTATTTTAAGCATTTTTTTATCTATCACAATACTCTTCCATTTAGAATAATATCTCTTTATCTTATAAATAATTTTATAATTTATGAGATAAATAAATTTGCACTTCTAAATCACATAAATGATTTATAATTTGTAATCTATTAAGTAAATGAAACATATTGATATTAATATGATTCTATAATTTTATATAGTTATATTAAATTAATATATATCCTCTTTCTTAAAGATTATAATTAAGTATATGATTTTAATTATATAAAAGACCACAGTCCTAATTAGTCTGTACTAGTGGGAACCGAACTGTTCATGGCCTCGATCTGGATCATGATCTTGTAGGACCGTGTCTATTCCTAGACTATACAAAATTTAAACTAAAAGTATTAATTTCAAAGCTAATTTCATTAGTAAAATAAAAAATCCGAATATTGAAAAGGTATCCAGAATGCCAATTGAACTGGCTCATTCAAGGTACACTTCAAATTTATTTTCATAATCGGTAACTTTAGAACGCGATATCTCGTGATCCAATTGTCCGATTCGGATAAAAACCACCGTCATTCGATTCGTCTAATCAAGGTGAATTGAATGCTAGTGTTTTTGAATTCGGGTAATGAAATTGAATTAAGAGAAGAATTTTCCGCATACCAGCAGCCCGAAATTATTAGGTCTACTTCCCGTTATGATGATCTCTTATTTGAATCGGTTCACTGAGTCGCGAGATATCGCGTCCCAAAGTTACCGATTAATTTTAAACGATTGTATAAAAACGAATCGGTAACTTTGGGACGCGATATCTCGTGAGTCAGTGAATCGATTCAAATAAAAACAATACTATTCAATTCACCTCGACTAGATGAATCGAATGGCGGTGTTTTTTTAATCCGAATTGGATAATTGGACCACGAGATATTACGCTCTAAAGTTACCGATTTATGAAAATAAAATGTTTCTCTTCTCGAAATATTATACATTTTTAGCTTATTTCATTAATCATATCTTTTATCTATTAAGAGCCAGCTTTGTCCGAAATTTCCAATTAATAAGCCTTAATCAGGGAATGTCTTTCTTCTGTTGTCTCTGATTTAACAAGATTCACTATGGAATTGAGAATTGAAACTTTCTAACAATTTCAGCATTTGGTATCAATTGAATTCGATACTAAGCATTTGTCATAAAAACTACGCTATTTTTGGACATCTGGATTTATTTGCACTCACCCAATTTTCTTTATACAAACCATTTTGATCATTCTCTATTAATGGTATGCTTGGTAATCTTCGAGCTCTGTCATTTGAATTAACTTGAAGCTTGTTTCTTAAAATTCATAGACATGCATATCGATATAACGATAATGATAGACCGAGAAAATAAACTAACCTAAAAAGGCGATTATATAATGTAAGCTAAATTCGGAATGGTTAATAACATTAAATATAATGAACATTACTATAATCATTTGACTAAGGGCTAAGCGTAGAACTCTAAAGAGTCCAAAGAAGTCTATTGCGGAACATCTGTGTATACAATAACCCTAAAGATTCTATATAGAAAAATCAAGTATTTAAACAACAATGAATTTGTCTTAATTGAAAATTTAACGGCGGCGTGATAGAAATAACGATCGATCTGACTATCAAAAGACTATGTAGAAAAAACGAATATTTGTCTGACTATCAAAAGACTTTATATAGCATTTAAACAACAATGAATTTGCCTTGATTGAAAATTCAATGTGATTAATTTAAGCTTTTGTTTTTATTAACGACAAAGATATGATAATTCAAAGTTTAATAGAAAATCTAAAATTTTTTTGCAGATGAAATACGCGTCAGCCTTTTATTTCCTTTGTAATATATAGCAAAAATTTTTGATTATTGGGAATGCGAAATATTTGTATGTTTTTGAATTTTCTGATCTGATGACTGATTGAACAAATGTCGGGCACTTTATTCCTTGAGAAAATACATGTGGAAAAAAGTAGACAAAGAAAGAGTCCTTATCGGCCAAAAGGTTTCCACGTATCACCTTTTGTACGTTACGGACGCCTTGTTAATCATTACATCATTATCAAGAAAATATTGAGAAATAATAGCAACTTATTGCGCATAAATTTATTTTTAGCAGCGCAGCGATTTTGAGGTAACGTAAGGAGGAACTACATTATGAACAGTCATAATCAAGTTCATATTTTGTAATGAAATTCAAAGGCGAACTCGCTTGAAACCTTTTTTAAACAAAAATCCTTATCGATTTTAAGTTTAAATTAATTCAAGCATCAAAGAATTTGGGAGGCATATCTATTTTTAATTTTAATTCAAGTATCGGGAGGCATATTAACGTATTCTACTGACGTAATCAACGGAGAATCGAGTCCAATTATTTTAGTAAAACTCATAGAAAACCCCCAATGTTGTCATTATTATTACTTATACAGATTCCACAATGACAACTGTCTAATACTAAAGGCAATTATTATTTTGATCTCTTTCTCATAGTAATTGAAGATATAATGTTACGGCACTTTCATTGGCTGGATGTATGCATTGCGCGAAGAATTACACGAAAATGGGGAACCAAGAAATGTTATAAAAGCTCTCAGTTCAGTCAACTATAATACCAAGAATTTCAGAAACAAACGAATAAACGAATTTTTTGCTTTTAACGTTAATCGTATCATATCAAAATGACTTCCCCCTTTAGGAAATTTTCGTTTGTTATCTTCTTGATAATCGCGCTTTTGGTCGTTGACAGTTTGGGAGAGTTTAGAGTGAGAAGTGAGTATTGTCATATGATGTGAAATGTTTTATTAATAATGATTTACAACTTTCTACATAAATAATTATTTAGAAAAGGATGCACTTAAAAGACGTGGCGGCTATGAAACTAGCGTCTCTCCCATCATTATTACTCCTTGCTGCAAGAATACCACAGTTACAAACACAGTTACAAAAACTGTCAGTGTTACTCCTTGTTGCAAGAATACCACAGTTACAAAAACTGTCACTGTTACTCCTTGTTGCAAGAATACCACAGTTTTTATTACCACGGATCATACAATTACAGCTACAACTACCACTACCAAGAATTTTACAACTACAACTACCACTACCACGGAAAAATCTATTCCATTTACATTGACAAGTACAACTACCACTACCACCACCACTACCACTACCTCGATCTCTACAACGACTACCTGCACTTCATCATCAAGTAAATTCTGATCATTTTGTATATTGTAAAGTTTTTATTCCTAAAATTTTGATTGATTTGTTTTGTTTTTTCTTTTTTTCAGGTAAAAAGTGCTGTACACCACCGCCAAGTTCTAAACCTTGCTGCGGTTCAAGTTCAAGTTAGTAAAATTCTTAGTATTTAGATTTGTTCATTTTTATTCCTAAAATTTTGATTGATTTGTTTTTCTTTTTTTTTTTCAGTGAAGACCGTAGCAAGTTCAGGTTAGTAAAATTCTTAGTATTTATATTTATTCATTTTTATTCCTAAAATTTTGATTGATTTGTTTTTTCTTTTTTTTTTCAGTTAAGTCCGGACCAAGTCCAAGTCCACCAAGTCCACCACCAAGTCCGAGTCCACCACCAACACCAAGTCCACCAAGTTCAAGTTAGTAAAATTCTTAGTATTTATATTTATTCATTTTTATTCCTAAAATTTTGATTGATTTGTTTTTTCTTGTTTTCAGTTAAGCCCGGACCAACTCCAAGTTAGTAAAATTCTTAGCATTTTTATATTTGTTAATTTTTATTCCTAAAATTTTGATTGACCGAGTTATTTTTCTTTTTTTTTTTTAGCTAAATAAATCGAAATTTCAATACAAATTTATGATTAATATAGCAAATTTCTTGAGTTTGATAATTTTTGATGTATTAGGTCGTGTTCATCTGTATTATCAGTGATGTCGAAATTTGACATATATTAAATCATGTTTATTTATATTTAATAATTACTATTTGCTTGCGTGTTAAAAAATGACGAAATGTGTGTGTACAATACTTTACTCTGATTCTGCTTTTACAATTAGTACTAAAGCCTGTTGAATCCGGATTTCGAAGTTTCATTCATCAAACATATCATTTATTGGTTTATCTTTGCATTTCGATTACCTTTTCGCACGATAAAAAATTATTTGAATTCTCAAGAATTTCTTAAAACGCATCTAGCTCACATTAATTTCCATAGTCTTTACTGCCTCTACACTCAACGATCATTCATACGCTGAATTCACTGAATTGTGGCTGAAAAATAGCGCCATTTATGTCATTAAATTCGCCAATGATTCAGTATGCGTTGTGCTGAAAGCAAACAAACAATTCGGTGTGCATGCGAAATTTCAATTTCCAATAATTCCCAGCGTTTTAAAATCTACATGGGGCGAGATTCATCTTGCTCATGCCGAAATGTCGAAGTTGTAACTTAATTTTGGTCATTGAAAACAATTACCCATTCCCAGATTTAAACACGCCGAAATGCTTGGTTTCGCTCCCATTATAGCTTAAATGAACTTTTACATTTTCATTATATTGTATATAAGACTAAGAAAGTAATTTGATTTTTATTAATCAATTTCTGAATTCTTATAAATCTCCGTCAGCTACTAGTTAACTTTCATCTTTCGGGAATCTAGCATTACCTCAAGGTTAAGGATTCTTTATGGAAAGTAATTGTTTATATATTTTGGAAACAAGATTTGGTTTTTTTTTTTAGTTTCCTATGAGTCGAGAATCTTGTATCTGAAGATTGACTGATTCTCAATAAGATATAGATACGTGTATTTTATTAATAAAATTGCCTGATTCAAGAATTAAATTAAAATTCTTAATTTGTTTGGATTATTACCAGATAATTCTTGTTGACAGATATAGATCGACGCATGCACGCACTGTCGATCTATCATGACGATTCTAAATCAGGTGCAAAAGAAATAACGATTTCGTTCCAAATATTTGTCTCCTTCAATTCAGTTTGTAAAATGCTCAAATAAACACCAAGCTACAAGTATTTCAACCAGAAGCAAATCACAGAAATGTCCCATTTGTATTTGTCATACTGTTTTTGACGTGACATTTCTTTGTTACATCAATGCAACTTTATTTATGCATATATGCATATTTACGTAGTATTCGCACATGGCTTGCTGGTGTACAGCATTGTAACCAAAGTCATGGGGATGTGAGAAATAGTTTTTGGTCAGGTGAAGTTGTCTTTTCAAGGATAGGCGTTGATTTAAAATTTATCGATCGATTGATGATTACATCTTTGTTCTTACGTTTACGAAATTCCAGATCATTCCGAAAGATCCAACATTCTTACGCGTCAATAAAGAACAGATTTCGTCACAAAAATTTTTATTGTCATCACAGAATCGATTTTGTTCTTCTTTGTACACGTAAGAGTCTAATCTTTTCAATAATAAACAATGACCAATCGTTGCTGATTATCAACCATTTAATGCTGCCACACACAAAATATAAACATGTACGCGTGTAGATATGGGTGATAAATAATTGTGATCCGATTTCGACCCTCTTTTTATCAGAACCCTCCTTCTTTTTTAATTATCTATGATATCCCAAAACCTTTTTTTCTGTATCCCAAAAAGTAAATAAGTGCTAAAAATAACCAATTGAACAGTTCCTTTGTACACGTATGTGTATCACTATATTAAGTTTCAGTAGTAACAACGACAACTGTTCGTTACTTAAAATTCGAATTTCTGAATAGCGCAAAGATAAAAACCCATACATGTTGAATTTTGGATCTATTTTTAACTCTCAAATATTCTAACTCTACATATACGTAGTGTGGTAAACTCTATGTTATCGCTATGTATGCATGCACGTATGTATGGCTTGGTGCACATATTGTCTACATTTTATGCGTGTCATATTGTTGTTGGTTGATTTTCAAGCAGTTGAACCCAAAAATTTCTTTTTGCCGAATAACTCTCATTCTGTATTCTACCGCCCCAAATAATCTATTTTGTTGATGTGCTAAATGATCTTCACGCATCATTATTTCCTCGCTCTTGACTTCTCTCGTTGTCTTTCTGCCTAATGTCTGTGATTACCGAACCAAGAAAAATACTGGTTTCGAGTAGAAGTCAAAACACATTGACTTCCAAAACAGACCATAACACTATAGAAACAATAACACTTGGAAGTTTGACTACCATGAACCTGATAAGAAAACCAGTCTTTAATATCAAGGAGATTATTCTCTCCTACGTATGCATACATGATGTATGCACATACAATGTGTACTGTTATCTGTTTCCAACATCTCTCTCTGAATGATGCATTCGGCTGCGGGAATCAAAATATTGTTGGGTCAGTCGTGCCTCACACAGATGCGACATTTACACTCGTTGTATTACGAGTGAACTAGTAACGAAATATTGAGTCTGCATTTATTCGTTAATACGTACATAATTATGCATATATGCAAAAGAATGGCGCTGGTGTGGAAAAAAAATGGAATGGGAAACACTTCGATGATCGATTTGATAATCGATTTTCAATAGCAAGGATCCGGCATTCCATCAAAGGCAAAAGAAATGTTTTCTTCTCTTTCGCAAAATCCATTCTTATTACGTTGAATTACTCATTTCTAAGCGTCTGTCAATCAACGAAAAGAGAAAAAGAAATCTAAATGATTTTCATTTTTTTCATTCATAGAACTGCTTTTTGAGTTTAATACACACACATTTCATTTTCTCTGTCATCGTCACACACAAAACATACAGCACTGACAAAAGAAATCCATCTATGGGAGAAAAACAAAAAATGTTGTCGATTTAAACCGGGCCTTTTTTATCATTATTGACCCCATTAACCAACAAGATACGAAATAACGATTGTTTCTGCTGTTGTTGCTCTTGCTTGCTTGGAAAACGCAAAAAGATCGGCAGCAGACAATAAAACGGATTATTCTAATCGTAAAAGTTTAATTTCTGTTTTCCTTCATAATCGATTCATGTGACAAAGTCACTCAGCAAAAATGATTAACCGGGTTTGCTTACGTGTTGTTGAATAAGCGCATTTACGAAAGGAATGTACATGTTAGGCATCTTTTATGGCAGCTGTAGGCGTAAACGGAAAATATTATTATCTGATCATGAGTTCAAGATCTTCCTAAAACGGCACATACGCAGAGTAAATAAATCAATTTTTTTTGTTTTTTCGTCAATCTGGACCTCTCGTAATTCTATTACATTAGTCTAGTCTAGTCTTATTATTAATTTGCGCAATGCGCTCTTCCCCATACACGATCTAATTAATACTCGATAACTTTTAGTGTCACTGTACCCCCAAGTGTGTCATCAATTCAATGCATTCACTCTCGTCTCATATATATTTATTGTACGATCGGAATAAGGACAAAAAAAAATATGGTTATTTGTCGATTGGGTTTATTGGTTAAATATTTTTTATCAGTGATACATTAAATAGTACTTACATGTACACGCTCAGAATGGGTATGAGAGTTTCAACGATGACGGGTGTTTCAGTCGTGTGTGTGATACCAGATGGACGATGAGTTGATTTCCTGAGGAAATTAGTAGTCAACACTCGTAATCGTTGGTTGTCTTAGTTCCTTTTAGCGTGGGTAAAAAAATTTTTTGTAAAAATTTCCAATTGGTCATTTACCATTTCCAAAATCGGCTAGATTCATTCTGCGATGAAAATGGCACCCTAAAATTTAAGCCATAATCGACTCTATCTTAGGCAAAATTAGCTCAAATCAGAAGTTAACGGAACTTGCTCTCCGTCTTTGTTCTGCGGTGAGTTTTTTTTTAGCTGGCTGTGTGTGTGTGATTAGAATATGATGAGACACAATTAACAATCACTCACACATATATAAGCATAATTTCCATAAATTCACAACCCCTTTGGAGTTTTATGCAATGTCTATCCCGCATCTTACGTCATTTTGAGTGATTTTCTGCCACATGTTTTGCGAGAGGTGACCGGTTGTTTGAAGAAGAAAGTGTAAATGACATGTATATTACTTAAGTTTATGGTGAGAAAACAGGATATTTTGACAGTGGGTATGAAAATCATATTGCTAATCATGGCAATCATTTAGGGATGAAAAATAATTTTAAATCCATGAATGATCATTGTTCTCATGCTGGGGTAGTAGGATATACTTGTATATAGAATCGGACATACTCGTAGAATAGGTGAATGTAGAAAATGTATATAGAACAACCGTCAATGACTGAAATTCAACGTACGCAACCTGGCCTGGCTTAGCGGCAAAGCTGTTAGGAATTAGATTAATTTCCTTTTGCAAGTGTACCCGAATCGCGTGTACGAACAAGATACGTGATCAATACTTAAAATTCAGCCTCGGGATTTCTTAACTTCTAATCTTCTTACCCCTAATAGATGAAATATAAAATTTTTTCAAAGTTTGGCTGTGTTAACGATTAACACCACTATCAATCATCTTATTGATGCATCGTTGTCCATCATGTATATTTTTATTCATTAATTAATTTCCTTTTAAGTGTCCAATAAAGTTTGGTGAAGATCGCACACCAATTTATCGCGTTCTTTTGTTCTTATTGCATTTAAAACCTTGCATAAATTATATCATAAATTAGATGAATTATATTTCTTCATTCAAGTTGCAATATATGTCCATTCCCACTACCTAAATATTTATACAGAGTATCAAATATAAACGCATTCATTCGATTCGTTATTCGCTGCGCACAAACTAACAAACACACGCTCTTTTTGTCTCCTTTTTCTCGTTTCGTTTGACCCCCCTCGTTTTCCTTTTTCAATCAAGGGTTCATCTCACTTTTTATATTCTATATTGTGTATTGTATATTGTATACTTTCCCATAGTTATACAATGTTGTTTATCATGATACACTTTCACCAAATGTCAACATACTGTTTGACCCGACTGTTTGACCAGACTGTATGCTGGATTATTGTGATGTAAATCTACTTTAAATTTTTTGAAAGGGTCTGTTGACAATTATAGTAATTAAAAAGATAATAGCAATGTATATATTCATCTCATAAATAAGAACAACGGTACCGCATCATTGGAATTAAAATTTCGCATTCTGCATTCTGTGACATTCGTGGATGATTTTTTATTGTGAGATAGAGAGAACGAGAGAACCCAACGCACTCGTCAATTATAATTTTATCTAGCCAAATGGAAAACGACAAGGCACACATCTGCAGCAAAGGCAAGCGGCATCATGTTTAAGTGTAACACATCTTCGACACACAATTCCCGCATTTGGACATGTTGAAGTAACACTCTTTTTTTATATTTTTAATGATTCTTTCTATTTCCATTTCCTATTCTCTTGCTTCCTTCCTTTGTATAAATAATAATAAACATAATAAAATTGGTTTATTATTGATATTTGATATTCTGTACG